AAGTTTGTTATGTCATGTGCCAGCCCCATACATATATTAATATTGAGTCTGTAACCCACATAGTCCATAGCACAGATGAGTCTTACCGCAGTAGTATCCCTAGGATTTCTATTGACAATCCTTAAGCGCTAAAGGATTGATCTCAAATATCGTTGAAAGCATCCCTTTGGCAGAATAGCTTCAGATAACCCTTGCTCAGCCAGTTGCAAACGTGGCATCTTTCTTTTCTTAGCAAACAGCATCCCTAGCTAAATTAATAAACTGGAAGAGCATTGATATATATATATATATTATTTTTTGTATTATTTTATTAGCAGAGCCAATGGATTTAGCCATAATGAAAGCCACCTTAATAGAACGTTTATTGCTCCAACGCTTCCAGCTCCATTAGCTCCAATATAGGTTCGTCAATATAAATTCACTTGTCGGTTTCTTTGGCTAGCATTTATATATCACGCATGTAAAACATTTGAATCGAAAGTCCAAACAGAAAAACCACTAAAATGCTCTTAAGCTAACATCAATTGTCCTGGCTACAGTCTCTGATACAGGATGTTCGCGAGCTCGTCTTATCGAGTGTCCTTTCCGGACTTGTTGTATAGGTTTCGGCCATTGAGCTCGACAACTTGCTCCAATTGTCGGAGGTGCGGACGAGCAAGCGCACTCTGTTCATGATCCTTCTATAGAGCTCAAGGGGTACCGCGGTTTGCAATTTGCATAGCAGAATATGTGGATCGGCACAGATCATGATCGCATTGGCAAAGTAGTGGACGGCCCTGTCCCAGTCATCGCGCCGCACATATGCTTCACCCAGATACACGTGCCGCAAAAAGTATTCGACCACTTCGGCATTTAGCGGAAGCTTGCAGTTGGCGGTTTGCGGTATTTCCATCATTTGCCGTCGCTCGTGCACTTTCCGTCTGTATTGAGGATCTTTGCAGCGTTTGTAGTCAAAGTAAATGCAATAGCTAACGAATGCCAGTGCTGCCAGACCGAACAATATCAGCTTGTGGCCACTAAATTCGAGCATTGTTTTCTGAATATGCTACTCCACACCTTAAATTTGGCCCGACGAAAATATTTGATATTCAGATATTCAGATGTCAAAAGTACTTAATAACTGATTACATTTTGAGTGACAGCTCTAGACGTAAATTACTCAAGCCGTGCCGATTTAAAGCGGATTTCAATTGTTGATTTGTGGTTAATACGAGATTACAGAAACATAGACTCGACATTTGGGTCTCTAGTACTCTTTGAAATCGTTCCGCTTATGCAGACAGCCGGACGAACAAGATCGACTTGATAATATGATATGCTGGAATATAACAGACATATATGTATGTGTATATGGATTTAGCGATACCTTCTCCAGTTTCGACCAACAGCTGATTTTAGTCGCATATTTGGATGTGGAAACACTGGCAATTGCATTTAATTTAACAGTTAGTTAACCTTAGCGAGCACTTAACTGAATGTGACATTTAAATAAACGCCAGCTTAACTGGACATTGTCCGCCATTTTGAATAAGCACTCGCCCTGCAGCTCTCGGCAGGCCGTCAAAAGCTCAACGTGCCTTGTTGGCGATCGCTTTCGCAGAGCTTTATCGCATTTTCTGCTGCTGCCCCATGCGCAGCTAATTATCTGCCTTGATTGCATTTCAAACGGAAGTCAACAAAGCTTTGTGAGAGCACATTACATTATGACGCTCTCTCGCTCGCTGCTCAAAAGCGAATGCCCGCACAAAAGCACAAAGCATGAACTGTGGCGTGGCTAGGCGCAACGGGCGAGGCGTGGCGGGGCGGGGCGAACTGAGTTGAGTTGAGTAAAGGCGAATTGAGTTGAATGAAGAACAAGAACAAAAGCCGCAAAAGGCAGCCAAAGATATGGCAACGCTCCGTTGCTCAAGATTGTTGATAGTTGAAGCGATGTCGACACAAGCACACGCACACACACACATCAAGCAGAGGCAGAGAGAGAGCGAGAGAGGGAGAGAGAGAGAGGGAGAGAGACAACTTTTGGGCAACACACGCCGTGTTACCACGTCTGCCGCGAACTGCGAACTGGGGGGGGGGGGGGGGGGGGGGGGGGGGGGGGGGTGGCTAAGTGCTGGGGAGGCGGCGCCGCGGCACAAAAGCGAACCATGTTAAAGCGATTTATGCCCGAGTGCATCAGCGCCCCTCACAGCCCCTCACAGCCCCACAGCCGCCCTTGTGCCCGCTGAAATCTACAATCGACTGCACTGGACTGCACCGCACCCTGTGCCAGCTACAAAGGCACAAATGCGGCATTCGTGCGGTTGCATGCAACGGCGCTTTCATGTTGCCTGTGTCGCAACCTGAGCCCAAACCCGAGCCCGAGCCCGAGCCTCAGCCAAAACCGGAGCCCGCTGTGTGCAACGTCGTTGCTGCCGCCATGTCAGCGGAAGCGGAAAAAGCAACATACATGCATACAACAAACAGAGAAACACACACACAAACACACACAAACACACACACACACACGCACACACGCACACGCGGGCACATACTTAAGCAAGATTGAACAGCATGCGGCTGCTACTGTTGTTGCTGCTGTTGTTGTTGTTGTTGTTGTTGTTGTTGTTGTTGTTGCAACAACATTTTGCATGCATTTGCATGCCATGCTGCCAATTCGCTTTATAGAGTGTGTGTGTGTGTGTGTGTGTGTGTGTGCGTGTCTGCATTTCATGGCGTTGCCTTCAAGTCGCAACCAAATCAGAAGCCCCAAACCCGGCAGTTACTGTTGCCTTGCCACGCCTTGTATGTAACGTTGTTCTGGATGTTGTTGTTGTTGTTGTTGTTGTTGTTGCAACGTGGCCATCATTTGGCGCCTTGTGCGTGTTAACGTGCCCAAAACTGATTTCCAGCATTCGCTTTCCAAATGCAGATGCCAATGCTTAAAAAGTTGATTGATTTTGCCTATGACTGAGCTCCATAGACTTTTCAATGGCAAATTCTAGCAAAGCAAATGTTAAGAAAGTACCCGGATATTGTTAGGATGTAGCCCGAGGACATTTCATACTGAAATAAACAAAAGTCGCTTATTCGTTTTAATTGTTAATAATTTACATACAAGCCTTTCGCCTGGCTTGAGAGCTTAAGCCCAAGAGATCAGCAAGGCTCTACGAAGTTCAGGGCATTGAGCTCACTGATTGAAAACTCTTTGATCTTTATTCTTATTTGTCCAATATCTTTAAAGATCGCCAGCTTTCATGCTGGCCCAGTTTTAGCTAACCAAAAACTCACTGCGCGAAAAGTTTATCAGCTGTGTTGCAATTCTTTTCCCGTGTCCCTGGGGCTCCATTGCACACTTCCCAAAGCTAATATAAACGTCTACAGCACACACACACACACAGAAAGAGAGAGAGAGAGAGAGGGAGAGACAGACACGCAGACAGAGAATGTCGCCTTAGCTTTTCGTTCAGTTTGTGTTTATTTCGTTTCTCGCATTTCGCCCATGTCGCCCAATTTCTGCGCATTTTCGACATCTCGCCCAAAAGCACAAAAACCAGTCATGAGTGGGAATGCGGCTGCAGGGGGCCTTTGCATGTGTGTGTGCGTGTGCGTGTCCGTGCCCGTGTGCGTGTGTGTGGATGAGTGTACTTAATGCGCCAACGAGTAACGCACACGAAACGAACACCACAAACTGAATCAGATTCCGAATCAGCCCCCATTGAAACTCATCAGCCCCAGCCCCAGCCCAAAGCCCAGAGCAACCCCCGCGACGCCCTCAAGCAGCACATTAATGGCAAAGCAACAGCAACAGCAGCACACACACATACACACACGCACACACACAGGGAAATAGAGAAAGAGCCGAGCACAGCAGAAACAGAAACAGATGCAGAAACAGAAACAGAAACAGCCAACTGTAAATTCAGAACAGAGCACTGAAAGCCGCGGCAGAAGCAGAGGCAGAGGCAGTGGCAGAGGCAGAGGCAGAGGCAGAGGCGGAGGCAGCTGGCGGCGAACCGAAAGAGTGTGCGGCGGCGCGAGGGGTATTGGGCTTAGGCTGTTTGCTGTGTGAGCCACAAAGTGGAGCAGGATGAGTGGTGCGAGTGGTGGGCGGGGGGGTGCAGGAGTGGGACTGCCTGCCTGCCGCTTGTTTCTTTGGCGCTGGCGCTGTTTTCGATATTGTTGTTAAGGTCCTAAGGTGGAGGATTTAATGAAGGATAACACACACACACACACAAACACAAACACACACACAGGGGCACAGAGACACATACACGCAGACAAAGTGACGCACAACGTACGCGTTGCTGCGGACCATGTGCAATTTTCAGCGATAGCGACAACAACAACAACAACAACAACAACAACAGCGACAAGGACAACAACAACGTGGCCGTATTACACTCAACATGCGGCGTTGTGCTGATGAATTTCCTGTGCACGAAGCACAGCTGAGAATAGGTTAATGGATGTGTGTGGGGTAAGGAGGGTAACGGGCGGGAGGCGGGGGGCGTCAAGCAGCCAGTGGGCGTAGCAGCAGTGCTTGGTAGAGATATTGTATATTGTATGCAAGTGCATATCATGCTGCCCGCCTTGGAACTGGTAATTAAAGGCGGCCCACTGGCAACTGGCATCCATATGGCATATTATACACGGGCTAACTCAATGCAGAATTCAAAGAATGCAATCAACAAACAGCTTAGGTTGAAGGCGACTTGTGGGAGTGGCAGGCAAGGCTGCTTGCATGCGCCCAGCAACAGCAACCAGTTGCACCTAATTGAAGAACTGATCTGCAGTGGGATTACAAAAGTCTGGCCAACTGTTAGCTAGCTGCCATCGGGCCAATGATGGGCAGGGAAATGATGGCCTGCATGGAGTGCTGGCAATGCAATGATTGTCCGCCTGGTTGTGGCCGTGGAACGTGGGAATGGTACGAAACAGCCAGGCAGGCCAGGAACTAGGCTGCAACTAGGACTCAGCTGGACAAATGCATCATAGTGCGATCAACAAACGGAACTGCGGGACAACAACGTGCCGCATATTGGATACCCTAACACACATGTTTATCCATAGTTGAAGTATTATTATTTTTATTATTGTTATTATTATTATTATTATGATTATTATTATTATTATTATTATTATTATTATTATTATTATTATTATTATTATTATTATTATTATTATCGTTACTACTATTGTTACTATTATTACTATTATTATTATTATTATTATTATTATTATTATTATCATTACTATTATTACTATTATTATTATTATTATTATTATTATTATTATTATCATTACTATTATTATTATTATGATGATTATTATTATTATTATTATTATTATTATTATTATTATTATTATTATTATTATTATTATTATTATTATATTATTATTGTGAATTATATTTGAATAATTATTGTTATGTACTTTTACCATAATTATACGATATTCATTCAATAGCCTCGGATTCAAAGCCAGTTCCTGGATTGTTCAGTTAAATTTGAATCACATTAAAATCACATTTTCTGCTAGATTCCATTCTCGAAATTTGAAGTTGATTTTTCAATTTTGAACGACTCTTCTTGATTTGCTCTTAAAATGCATATCAATATATTCTGATCCAAATCAGGCTGAAACATTTTTAGCCATATATGATATTGTGATCCGATGCGGCCGACTCGCATATATGTACATGTTGAATATGTGTTCTAGTTGGGATCATCAAACTAGAATATACCCTGCAATTTGATCCGAAATATCCTGGACTGTGCATATTATTAATATTCAAATAACTTTTCACTTAGATTAATCCCAAACGTGCTAACTGATAAAAAAAAAGTATAGCCTACATATTTAGTATTCGGGTTATGTTTACGTTCAAAATAGTCGAAGACTGATAAAAGCAATCCTAATCCTCTAGAGAACTATATACTGGACAGCAAATGGTCAGTTCTTCAAGGAGATTTACGATAATGATTCAACATAGCTGCATAGGGATAAATCGCTCGAACATTATAGCTTGCAGAAAGAAGAATTATTCAGAAATTAAGGAAGTCTTTCAATATTGAAAAGTCTCATTATAGCGTTCGATTCCTTTAAATAATTGAAGTCAACATGGAATGGCCTTAAATACGACTTAAATTCCTCCATGCACATAAATGATATTCTGTTCGCATTAAGAAATATAATTATAAAGTCTGAATGGACTTTACGAATTTACCATAAGTCAAATTAGGAAATGGGCGAACAAGTAATACTAAAGTCCTACGTCCATCAATTCGAGTATTTATTTGGATAATTGTAGTCAACTCAACACGGAATAGTCTTAAATACCTCTCGAGGTACATATATGTTATTCTATACCCATTTCAAAATATTTTGATAGATCCATGATATTCTATTCGGCATTCACTCTTAAAATCCCTAATAAATATGCATTGAGAAAGTACGACTGAAGTCCTACAGCATCAGGATTGACGATAATGAAAAAAAGTTGTCGATTCCTTTAGATAGTTGAAGTCAACTCGGAATAGCCTTAAGTACCTCTTGAGGGTTTTGTCCATGTACATATGTTATATATGTTATGCTGCACCCATTTGGACAAATTATGATAGCTCCACGATGTGCTGTACTGTATTCACTCTATAAATCTCAATTGGAAATGGACACAATCCTTTTAAATCCGCATTGAACATGTATTAGTGAAGTCCTACAGCTGCTGTCGCTGCTTAACCAGCGCCTGGCAGCGGTCCAGCTTATATTTGGGCACAGAATAGCGAGAAGAGCGTTAGAGAAATTAATTAAACGCAGGATAGCGAGAAATGAGAAGGACAATGGGCACGATGGCAATGGGGACAAGGGTGGGGATGGCGATGTGCTCGGCTGTGGACTGTAGGACGACGGCTGCTGGCGTTGGCAGTGGGCGTGGACGTGGGCGTGGAGGCAGCAGGCGTGAACGTGACGCCATGCATGGAAATAACGCATTTTGTCGACCCACTTTTGGCTGCGCACCACTAATCAACAATTTCCCCCGCCCTGTGTCACTCTTTTTCTATTTCTGTCCGTCTCTTATTCTCTTTGCAGCCTGCCGCCGCCATCGCCGGCACACACGCCCACCAAGGGATTCGATGGAAACTTCAAGCTGGAGCCGAATCTGAGCGTGAAAGACTTTGCCCCGCCGCCGGAGAATGGCAACGGAAATGGCAATGGCAGCCTCGAGTCCGGCGGCCCGTCCGTTGCCATGGCCACGCCCACGCCGACGCAGCGCAAGCGCTACAAGAAGCGCGTGCAGTTCACCACCGACGCCCTCAATGGCTATGCGGGCTCCAAGGCCAAGGGTGGCGCTGGCGCTGGCATTGCGGCTGCTGGCGCTGCCGCAGCCGGCGGCTACAACAACAATAACAACAACAACAACAACAATAACTTTGGCACAACAGTCAAGTCAAAGAAGCAGGAGGCCAAAGCGGCTGCGGCTGCCCTGAAGGCAGGCGCAGCGGCAGCGGCAGCTGCAGCAGCAGCGGCAGCAGCCTCGTCGGCACTGCCCGAGGTGCTCGACTGTCGCATCGCGGAAAAGATCAAGAGCGAACTGGAGGCCTGTAGCAAGGAGTCCCTGCCAAGTGCACTGTGTCTCAAAAAGGCTGCTGCAGCTGCCGCAGCCGCTGCAGCGGCAGCGCGTCACAGTGACGACGACGAGGATGAAGAGGACGACCATCATCAGCAACAGCAACAGCACCAGCACCAGCAGCTGGCGGCGCCGACAGCAACGGGCGCAGCTCACATCTCCACGGCACCGGCCACGCTGGTGGGCACTGGCTGCGGCGGAGCGGACATGGTGGATGCCAGCAGTGCCAGCAACGGTCAGCTGGGCAACTTCCATGTGCGTTCCAAGAGCCAGGCGGGCAGCAAGAAGTCGCAGTCCGCGAAAGCAGCCGCTGCGGCAGCTGCTGCAGCGGCGGCAGCAGCAGCAGCTGCAGCGGCGGCCATGATGCCGCCGAACAGCTATGATGAGCCGGAAGATGATTCGGCTGTTGGGCCGGGCGATGATGATGACGAGGACGATGAGGAACTGGACGAGGAGGCGTTGGCGCGTGAGATGAAAATGGAGCAGAACTTTGTGGAGGAGGAGGATGAGCATGATATTGCGTTCCGGTCGCAGCAGTCCTGCCGCGAGTGCTCCATCTCGCATGACCACAAGCTGTGCCCGCTGCGCAATGCCTGCGGTAATGTAACGGACGCAGTGGATCTGGCTGAGTGGATCGAGCGCCGCAATCTGGAGGCTTTGGCTAAGCTAAAGGCGGACGCACAGCGCCAGGCCAAGGTGGGCAGGCCGCGTCACGATGACGATGAGGACGACATGGAGGACATGGACATGGACGAGTCATCGCAATTGTCCGAGCTGGAGACCAAGCCGCTCATTACCTTCGCCGAGGCCTCGGTGCCCGCCGAATTCGAGCTGCACAACGTGGAGCCCAATGTCACCGGCGTCTTTGCCCGCACCGAGGTCCGTGCCTACACCAAACTGGGCCCACTCATCGGCCAGCCGGTGCAGAGCGGCGAGGTGCGCGAGGGCAGCGACATGAAGTGGATATTCGAGATGTGCGAGGCCGGCGCCGATAAATCCTATCTGCTATGCTGCGATAATCCCAACGCATCCAACTGGCTGCGCTTCATCCGGCCCGCGCCCAGCTACGAGGAGCGCAATGTCAATCTCGTTTCCATCGATCGCCAGGCCTACTTTGTCAGCTGTCGCGATCTCCGCAACGGCATGGAGCTGCTCTACTGGAGTGATGACTGCAACACCATGTGGCGCAAGAAGCACACAGAGAAGACAAGTAAGTCGCACAGTGGGCACCCACTAAGCCGGCCAGCATATGGCCCGTTGTTATTAACATTTATGTTTGCCCAACTAATTGGTTAACTGGATGTTAGTCATCAAATCATGCAATCATTACTTATGGGTCTGGCAATCTTGACAAGCTGATTCGTTTATGATTCAATAACATTTGCTGAGACTAACTGACATCTTCCTATCAAACTTGTCAGGCGCTTTAACTTGTTGTCAAATAGAGTCTCAATTATACTTCTGAGCCACCTATTATAATTAGCTGTCTATTTATCTTTCTGCTAAGTTAGCTATTATTGGCACAGATGGCAGTCCAGCCGGTAAATACATAACAAGAAGATGTTAACCTAAGAAAGTTGTCAGGCGCTTTAACTTGTTGTTAAATAGAGTCTCAATTATACTTCTGAGCTTCCTATTATAATCAGCTGTCTATTTATCTTCCTGCTAAGTTAGCTATTATTGTCACAGATAGCCGTCCAGCTGGTAAATACTTAACAAGAACATATAAACTTAGTGTAGCCCCTTTGCTGGGCATTGCATGGAAATAAACTTTAATTTTCATTAAAATCTATCAACCTCGCCATTAAATACTTAACGAGAAGTTATAATTAAGCTCTTCATCCTTATCAGATTTATCTTTTCCACTAGATATATACATTTTCCACTAGAGTCGCGATTAAACGACCTGCTTCTTACGCTAACTTAAAGTCCTTTCATTCATCCATGCCACATGCTTGTCTTTTAAGCCAAAGCTTGAGTGCATCTTCAACAAATGTCATTGTGGATTCTTATGAATTGCATTGAGTCAACACTTACTCATCTTTTTCTCTGTTATTTTCCGAAAAAAAAAAATAAATAAAAATAAACAGACTGCGGCGGCTGCAATTTGAAGTTTGAGCATCCGCTTTACTACCGCACGCACTGTTCAGTTTTTCACGATCCATCGATGAGCCTAACCATACGGAAGTACCACTGCAAGGTGTGCGGCGAGGCGGTTCTGGGCAAGGACAACATCATGAAGCATGCGGCCGAGAAGCACGACGGCAAGGGCGCCTATCAGTGCCAGTTCTGCAACAAGTTTTTCCTACGCCTCAACTATTTGGAGATGCATCGCACCTACGGTTGTGCCTCGAACCCGAACCGATCGCGGCCGGTCTGCGATTTCTGTGGTCGCAAATTCTGTCAGCCGCAAAAGCTGAAGGCGCACATTAAGCGCGTCCACAGTGGTAAGTTGCGTATATGCCACGCCTTCCACATAGAACGTAAATACTTACGTAAATACGTAGAAGTCTGTATATCGTAAGCGTATGCAACAATAGCGGAGAATATTGTAAGCTCGTATATCGTATATCGCATATCGCATATCGTAAACCGCATATCGTAAACCGCATATCGTATATCGTATATCGTAAATTGTATATCGTAAATCGTGTATCGTAAATATAAACCACACTGACGCTATACCGCTTCCCCATAGTAATGTACTAAACACTCTTCACCACACCCCAATAGAAACACACACACACACACACACACACTCACTAACCAATATCGTATGTACTAATATCGTAAAATAACGCAACCTGCTTAGCCGTAACTACTAACTAACCACTTAAGCACACAATCACCATCAGTCACCACAACAACACCCACCACCCACACTCAAAACACCCATTTGTGATCGCTCATCTTCATGACTCTTCAGTTGTATGCCTAATTGGTCGAAACCATTTTTATATGCTTGGTTCATTTCTTAACGAGTTTAGTTAATACACATCACACAGATCAAAAGCACACAAACACCTTAGTCCGGCAGACTTAATGGGAATTTGGAAAACTCATTCATGCCTGAATAGTATCAATAAGAGTACGAATTCGCAAGGAGCTTGCTTTAATTAATAATTATGATTTTCCCTTAAATGAAAATATGACACTTATTTCGGAAACCTTCTTGCTTAGCCAAATGCAACTAACATATGATGAGGGATGTGCCACATGGGTATGAGTATATAAAAAGGAAACCTCCTGGAATATTTTACGATATATAAGAAGTTTTAAATAATAAAAGTGAGGAACTGAGGTGGCACATCTTTAGAATCTTTTAGCTCGATGTACGTAGAGTTATCTGTGTCATGCTCGATTTTATTTAGATTAGTTTTCGACAATGTTCAGTTCAGTTCAGTAGAATGGATTAGTATCCCGGTCAGAGAAAGGCTTAGACCGCCTCTCACAATAGCTACTCTGTCATATTCAATATGTTTCAAAATGTAAATATGATTAAAGAACAAACTATTTTTGAAAAATGGTTCGCTTCAAGCTTTAGTTCATGTTCATAAATAAATGTTACTCCGCGCTCAAACTGATTCGATTCTGACTACAAAAAACTTGGTAATTTGCTTTCTTAAGCAAAGGCATTGAGATTCAGAATAGAGGACACACAGTTTTGCGTGTGTAGAACTTCAATTTAGAAAACTCTAAGCCTGACGATAGATCAATAATCGATAAATTGAAATACTTATTGAGACCGAACCACAGTGAGCATTAAAAACCACCTTTTCAGGAGGTGCAGGAGGTCACATTATAGTATTCAATGAAAGATGTTCAAGCCGTTTATAGAATTAACTATGTATACGAACCACTACACCGAACCACTGTACCACTGAACCACTGAGCCACTGAACCACCGAACCACCACCAAAGCAGCATACGTAAACAGCATCATTGTAAAATCGCTTTTAGTGAATGATTTGCTTTGTATTTGATTTGTGTTTGGTATTTGATCTTGAGTTTTTAGTGCTGGACGAAGATCAGCATTATGGACAAACTATATTGATATGGTTTATTTGTTCGATCTAGTGACTTATGCTTTCTGTGTGTTTTGGCTTACGTTCTTGTGATTTGTGTTCGTACGTTCGTTTGTTGTTGGTTTCGATTTACCTATGAATTTTCTGTATTCACTAATTTTCTTTCAAAATCACCACAATCCGAAAATTTCATTTTCTTCATACAATTTCATTTTAGATATGGCTGAAGTTTTACGAGATTTTCAGTGTAAATTATGTTCAAAACTTCTAGGATCGCGTGCGGCATTGCAGCGCCACTCGAAGGAGGTGCACAGCCGCAACTCAACTGTGGTCAGTTGTCCGCGCTGCCAGAAACTCTTCCAGAATCGCAGCAATCTTAAGATCCACATGCTCACGCATTCGGGCGTGCGTCCCTTCAAGTAAGTGCCCCCAGCCCGTTCCGACAATCCCACTTGCAATCGTCTTTTGCTTACACAGAGAGAACAAATCAAATACGAAAGCACTTGAATTAAGTAAGACGACTCTTAAAAGTACGCTTATATCGGTAATAGTTCGCTCAAGTATGAAATTCGTTTTGCTTGTACGAAAAAAAAACTTCAAATCAAGCTATCTTTATTATTTCATCCTATTTCGCTTGACTCAAGTGTTTAATTCTTAATTCTAGTATAACTCTGAAATATGAAATTCTTATTTCAAGAATAAAAAACTTGAATCATGTTATACTTGATGAAATTCTTATTTCAAGCTTGATTCTTTTATTCAAGATTTTTTGTTTTACATTCTAATAGAGCTGAAAAATCTTGTTTTAAGTATGAGTCAAGCCTAAAATTCGTATTACAGGTATGACCTCTTATGAATGAACTTAAATCAAGCTTTTTTTTGTATTTGTATTTTGTATTCATATGATCTTCATTTTCGCCCTGATATAAAACTAGTTTTGTCTTTAACTGTTCTTAAAACAATCCCAGCTTAACTTTGAAACAAGCTTAAGTTCGTCTTTAAGCAGGGCCTTTGCTTTGCAACTTCAAGAACTTGTTGACTTGAGTCAAGTTTGATTCGTCTTGATTTTTGATAGCTTGATTTGAGTAAAAATTTTTATTTGAATGACTTTTACTTGATTCAAGAAGTTCTAGTTAATCTCAATACAATAACTTTTAGCTTCAGTTAAGATTTTTGTTTTTTCTCTCTGTGCACATTTGATCCACCCACACACACACATACTCATCCGGTCATTCACAGGTGCGCGGAACCAGAGTGCAATGCCGCCTTCACCACGAAGCAGTGCCTACAGTTCCATTACAAGAAGGTGCACAACTATACCCAGGAGCAGATGCCGAAGATTGAGCGCAGCGTGGCCTACACTTTCGATGCCTACTCGGGCGGCATGAAGGTGGACTTTTTGGGTAAGCCAGTGGGGCAGGCGCAGTTGGGTGTACTAGCGCCACGCCCTAACGCTGCCCTCTCCTTCACAGAGCAAGCACCGCGTCGGCGACGCAAGAGCCTCGAGGATCAGAACCAGAACTCGATGCTCAGCAGCTCGATGCAAAGCGACACCGAGTACAGCGACGACAATATATTCGAGGCCATTAAGAAGAGCGGCAAATCCATCAAGGATCTGTGCCGCAACGAGCCGAATCTCTCGCTGCTCAGCTCCAAGATCTCCAGCATATTTGGCGAGAAGGTGCCACCTGTGCAACAGGTCTCGGGCCAGGTAAGCGCCGTTGTCGCCGCCACCGCAGCTGGCACTGGACGCAAGCGCAAGCGGAAGAAGGAACCGGCGATACCATCCCTCGCCGCCCAGCAGCAGCAGCAGCAGCAGCAACAGCACCAACAGCAACAGCTGCAGCAGCAGCAGCAACATGCTCAGCAGTGCCACCAGCAGCAGCAGCAGCAGCAGCAGCAACAGCAGCAGCAGCAGCTCCACGGCGGACATCTGGATCAGTCGCCCTCGCATCTGTCCCATCAGCAGCACCAGCAGCAGCCGCAGTATCATGCGCACAGCCACGCCCACGCTCATGTGCATGCACACGCCCACCAGCAGCAGCAGCAGCAACAACAACAACAACAGCAGGCGGCCGCGCACCACCAGCAGCAGCTGCACGATGCCGACGAGGAGGAGGAGAGCGTGCGTCTGGAACAGGTGCGTCGCAAGCAGAACGCCCAGCTCAGCCTGGTCGAGTCGTTCCTGACCACCACGGCACAACGCCTCAGCGCCCAGCAACAGGTGCAGCAAGTGGTCGCAGCCGCGGCCGCTGTCTCGGCAATGGCCGGCGCTGGCGAGGATCCCGCCAAGCTGGGGCACATGATGGGCCACATGGGCGGCGTGGGCGTTGGCCTGGACGATGATGACGATGACGACGAGGACGATGAGGATGCCACAACGCACCACCTGCATCACCAGCAGCAACAGCACCAGCAGCAACAGCATCAGCAGCACCACTCGCACCAAGCGCATCCACATCATGCACACACGCACCCCCACCAGCACGGACAGCAGGCGGCGCAGCAGCCGCACGATGCCGGCTATCGGCATGCGGCCGCCATGAACGCCGCCCTGGGCCAGAACCTGGTCGTCAGCAAGGGCAGCAAGAAGTGGATCGGCGCCGACGATCGCCATCTAAGCGATGGCGGCGACGTGGCCAATGATGCAGCAGTCGGCGGTGCGGGCAGCGGCGGCGGCGGCGGTGGTGTCGTTGTCGGATGCGGTCAGCTGTCAGGTGGTGGCAGTGCTGGTCAGGACCTCGGCTTCGCAGTGCCACCCAGCGCCGTGGACGAGCACAGCAAGCTGCTGGGCCAGAACCGCGACTTCCTGGCACGGCTCATGAGCAGCGCCAGCGCCAGCCATGCCAGCCATCAGCATCAGCACAGCGCGCACAGTCGCGAGGAGGACGAGAACAGCTCCTTCCTGGATGTCGTCGAGTCCAATAACAATGCGGCCGCCGCTGCAGCCGCCGCCGCCGCGGCCATGTCCCAATACCATCACAGTGCGGCAACCAATGGCGGTGCGGGCGCTGCTGGCGGCGCCGGTGGTGGCGGTGGCGGAGGCGGCGGTGCTGGCGGGCACACGCCCACCGGCCATACGCCCACAGCGCCCAGCAGCGTGGAGCCGCCGCAAATGCAAATGAACTCGCTCAGCCACTCGCAGTCATTCATGAGCTCCTTCTACAACAACGCCAACGCAAGACTGAGCGGCGCCGGCGCTGGCGTTGGCGTTGGCGTCGGTGTCGGCGCCAACTCCTCTTCGGCCAGCATGCTGGTGGAGGCGGCCCTCAACTCCGTTGGCAATATGATTGACAGCGAGAGCAGCGATCTTAAGGTGCGTCCAAGTATTTCATGCCAGCCCATTCGGCTAATATCATTTCAAAAATTTTAGCGACCATTGTAAAGAAATACAAATCTTTTTATTATGGAAGGGATTACGATTAATCTTATACATATATATATATATATATATATGTATATACAAATATTTATCCAGACTGACTGACTGATTGACTGATTGATGATCAATGCACAGCGAAATCGTCAGAGCTAGGGGGCAGAAACTGCAAATTCCACCCGAAACTGTGGAAAACTGGTGAAAAACAAATTTTTCAATGATCTGAGAAATTTGAGCGAAATATTGAGGTCAAAGGCGGATTTCAGAGAAATTCGAGCTGTTAGGGAGATATTTAAAATTTCAAATATAAAATTTGAAGAGAAGGCGAAAAACGGCTACAACTGGAAAGATCTTGAGCGAATCAAACGTCAACTTTCACAATTGAACCATAAAAGTCCTGAAGATGCAAGTGTCCGATTAGGAGACATCCTCTCCTTTGGCCCCGTACCATGGGAAGTGCGTTTTTGAATAACTTCGGTGTATATAGTCCGATCTTTATGAAATATTCAGAGCTTTCAAATGGCACCCAATTGTATGTATATGCCAAAGTGCCAGTCTCTTGTGGACGAGCTATTCGACAAGTGTGAAATATTCTTAATCTGTGTATATATTGTGTAGAGATCAAGGCTTCAAATTTGGGCGCCGCGTTCTCTTAGAAGAAGCTCTTAAAATGAAAGATGCTCACAAAGTATAGGCTAGAGCAAGAGACCTGGAGTCTTTTCGGCGATTTCCGTTGATCAAGAACATTTAGCAATAACTTCTTGAATGAGAGTGTACGCGTGCAAGAAGCTCAAGTGCAGCAAACCATTTTGTAGGGTGTCTTCTAGTCGAGAACACTTAATTATTCCACTCTAACTAGATATACCCTTTGATCTTATTGCATTCTAAGAGCTTGCTAAACTTATACGCATCTAATCCAATTCTATTCCGGGCATTCTCATGACTCAGGTACCCACCGAGAACCACATAAATAGCGATAGTCCGATGAGTGCGCACGTGGATGCGGAGGCGCAACGCTTTGGCAGTGGCGGCGGCGGCGGTGGCAGTGGGCCGAACGGCGCAGGCATTGGGGCGACCATGGACAACCTGGAGAATGAGCTGAAGATGATGAAGAACCTGGGCAGCTTTCCCATGCAGATACCGCCACTGCCTATGTTCCAGGGCGCTTGCAACATATCGCCGAGCGCCTCGACGCCCACCAATCCGCAGAGTAATCAGAATCAGAACGATGTGGATGTGGATGCCGGCAGCACGCCGCGGCCGCAGCATCCGGACTCTGATGGTTTCTCGTCGTCGCAACATCGCACACCGCCCTCGCCGCCGCCCATATCGCCGGGACGCGACTACGGCGGCATGTTTGGCGCCGGCAATGGTGCTGGCGGGCCCGGCTCGAACAGCACGCCAGCGGGCAGCTCCAGCGGCGGCGGTGCCCCAACGGTGGGCAACAATTTGTCCGCATCGTCGCCGCTGCCGGCGCTGCAGCCGCAGCGGCGCAACGCCTCCAGCGTGGGCAGCACATATCCCGAGCATGAGCTCATCTCGCCGGCCTCCTCGCCGAGCATACCCCGCTACAACTTCAACGGCGACATGATGCGCCACAAGCGCGCCGTCCAGGAGCAGGAGCAGCAGGAGCGACGACACAACATCTCGCGACACAATCACATGTCCAGCGACGAGGAGAACAGCATCATGCCACAGAACAGGTGAGTCGGCAGCCCCATAAGCTAGCAACGACTGCTCCAACTAATCCGTATTTTGTGTGAACAGCGCCGGACAGGATATGCGCATGAAGTTCCCGCAATCGCAGATCGATCTCATGTACTCCAAGTACGAGAGCATGGCCAGCAATCTGAAGTACAACAGCCAGGAGCTGGACTCCCCGGTCGAGTACCGGCAGAGCAGCAACAGCAATGCGGCAAGCGCTGCAGCCGCTGCCGCCGCGGCAGCCAGCGCCGCCAATGACATGTCCGATCTGCAGGGACTGGACATGAGCTCGCGGTCGAATGCCTCGAGCAATTACCATCATAACTTCCAGCTGCCAAGCAGTCGTTACCATCACCACATCTACGATATATTGTCCGATCGAGAACAGAACCAGCAGGCGCAGGCGCAGCAGCAGACCCCAGCCTCGGTGGTGCATCAGCAGGAGCATGGCAGCCATGGCGGTCACAGCAGCCAGCTGGCCATGCAGCAGCACCAGTCGGCGGCGATGCACAACATGCTGAGCGAGCAGCTGGGCGAGCAGGAGCACGATCAGACCACATCGGTGGACCTGAGCCGTACCGCCAACTATGTGGTGTCATCTCCGCCGCAGCTGCCCTACAATCATCCGCACCACGATATGCTGCGCATGGCCTCGCTGGATCTGACACCAAATACGGCTAATATGGCCGTCGGCAACAATCGATCGTTTCTGTCCTCGCAGATGCAGCACCAGAGCCGCGAGAGTCTCGAGCATCATCGGCTGCTATCGACGGTCGAGCAGCATCGCATACTGGCCGCCTCGAATGCGGCAGCGGATCAGCATCGGCTGCTGGTCGATCCCACCGCCCATTTGCTGATGGAGCAAAACAATCGGCTACTGGGCACCGCGGATCAGTCCCGTCTCCTCGGCGAATCGGCGGCGGCAGCTGCCCAGAATCGTCACATGGCCAGAAGCTTTGGTGCCTACCATCAGGTGGCATCGAGCAATTATCATCCGGGCGTACGGCCACCGCCGGTGCTGCCATCGGCCAACCATCATGCTTCCAATCCGTCGAATTATCATCCATTTCCCGCCTACTACTAGGTGGCGCCATCTGTCGGCCAGCACAGTTGATTCATGCAAATCGCAAACTAAAAAAGCCACCATTCCCCCCCCCCCCCCCCCCCCCCCCCCCTAGTTTCTATCCCACTATATATATATACGTGTATACAGATCTGATGGATCTGGCATATATATATGTGTGTGTACTCTGAATATACGCTAGATATACGATCATTTAATTATTTACTAACAGCTGCCAGATGAGATGCGTGAGGCTAAGTGGACATCTAGCAGAAGGACCTACACCTACATATATATATATATATATATATATATATATGGATAACCGGGACTGTGTGCAATTAAAATATCAGATATATGTGTGTATATAACCCTGTACGTTCGCCTGGCAGCAGCTACCTATATATATATGCACGATTACTATCCACGAATCCTTGATTCTATAGCTCAATTTCAAGCGCAAATCTATGTTTCAAACGTAACAATTTTTGGTTCCTCGGTTCTATTCGCATGTAACTCTCAACTAACAAGCCACAATTAACTCATTATTAACTATTGAAAGCCCCAATTAAGGTGTGTCGCATTATGTTCAGTGTCTCAGCTACTATTTGTATTATGTGTGAGCAATTGTTTTTAAAAATTAACAACAACAACAAATAAATAATAAAAACTACCAAAAAAAAAAATATATATATATGGAAAATAACAAAAACAACCATAAAGTGTGCCAATATGTTTAAGTGTACATTGAGTTTTTTTTTTTTTTTTCGCTACAGCTGGCAAACTACATATAGAAATATATGATTTTGTAACAATAATAATAACAATATGTATAGTTGTATATGTAAAAAAAAAAAAAAAATGAAGACGAAAACAAACAGTTAATATATAAAAAAAATACAGTTTGAAGAGAAGCTAAATTATAAATACATAAAATGCAACACATAAAACTGTAATTTTAAACAATTCGCCGCTGAGTTTGTATAAAATAGAAATTGTATAAAAACCAAATGCGATATTGTATCTCGTATACATAAAAAACAAAAAACAAAACAAAAATGCATTGCTATTTTTACACCACGAAAAAAAAAAAACAAACAAACAAACAAGAAGTAAAAATTATAAACGAGTACAAACTGTTGAGCAAAGGTTGAGTGAAAGGGCAACAATATAATAATAATACAAATTGTAATAACAAAAGATTAATTTGGCTTAAAACAGAAAAAAACACAGCACCAGATCCGTACGGGCCCCGGACAAACTCAGCGCTAGTAAAGATCAGTAAATATATAATGAATACCAAGTTATAATATTACTAGCTTAAACACTTATTATACCAATTGACAGACACACACACATGCATACATGTCATAACACATACATATATATATATTATATGCATATATCTCTTCATATATGTATATATATGTTTATATATATGGAACAGTTTGACAGATCAGGAACTTAGCTCAAGCGACTTTTGTATTTAGTCCTTATCAGTTTTTTTTTTGTTTATGCCTATTGAAAAATGCAAGATTTGGCATAACACGACAAATATATATATATATATATATATATACATATATATATATATATATATAAGCATATACATGAATGTACTAAAAGATATATAAATATAGCAAGTAAATGAATTAATGCATATAATTTCATGTAAATTATTAAATTAACAAATTAATAAAGACAGGCAAAAGTAACAGGAACTCTATATATACATATTTATATATATATATATATATATATATATATATATATATATATATATATATATATATAAACATCCCAATGATAATAATAGTGTGCGGGATGGCATATAACATAAAATAATGCTGATGTGCTAATTTGCCAATGAGCACATTGAAAATGCTGATAAAAATGATATTTACATGTGGAGTAATCAAATTATCGATTATAAATAAAACGGAAATTATTTGAATGAAAACAAACAATACCGATAGCAGTTACTTCGTGTTATCGATAATAGAGCAAAGGCAACAACTAGGAACAGCGTTGCCACTTGTTGCGCTAAAAAGTAGCCGTATCCAAAGTTAAAAATAGCCAAAAATAGCTGAATTGAGCTTCTGCGCAACTTTCAACATGATCATTGGAACTAACCGAATCTAGACAAAGAAACTAATCGGATATCAAAAGATCACTTGCATGCGATTCGTTAATTCTTGCAATGCCTGCATTTCGGGATATTTTAGTATATCTTTGAATGAAGTTCCCTACCATAGTATAATCTGAAGGAATGTTCCCTTTAATGATCTGACTGTTTTGTCTTTTGCTTGCAATTATCTGTGTGAGTGTCTGACTTGCTTGATTGAGAGCATACTGAAGAGCTAGAAAGTTTCAGCCCCATTATAGCTATCTTAACGACTGTGGAAAACGGTTGGAAAACTCTATTATGAACCATGTTTGAATTCTATCTAATTAGTTTCAAACTCTTTATAAAATATAGCTCAGCTTTAGTTATTTTGAATTATTCTCCATTCCATTCGTAAAGTCGCAAAACTGTCGAAAATTATTAGTTGAAGCGGAATTCCTCCACGTCTTGCATATGTTCCCGCAGCCGGAAAATGGGTGGATTTAGTGATGTCTTTTATGTGAAGAAAAGAACTTGATCTGGCCAAAACTGTCGTAAGAAATTTAATAATGAAATCATTATTTAAAATCATTATTTAAAACCCAGCAACATTTTTTTAAACATATTTAAATAGATTTCTATTTCGGAGGTATATTTTGGATAGCTAAAATAAAATTGCATTTCCTGTTTATCTATCATTTTATGACTGAAAATCCATAATTTTTGAATGGAATCGTATGTTAAAGAATTTTGTTTTTTTTTTTTACGTTTTTAGTATTTTTTCCAAAGGTTTAATTATCAGGAATGAACTGAATTTCAGATTGTTGTGGATTTTTTAATTTTGTGACATTTGATTGAGTACTTGTTTTATTTTTTAGATCAAAATTGTTGGCTTTTCATTAAAAGTGATTAAACCAGCCATGTTACTGAGATACGTTTTGAATGGACGTCCTTATTGAAAGCTAGATACGTGCTCATGGAGAAATATATATACTTATAAAATATATATTTACATACCTTCATACGTAAATAGTACATAGAGTAAAATAAAATGTGTGTAGTTTCATAACTTTGGCATTTCCTTCCAAATTCTTGTTGAACAAAATGCACAACGAGTTTTGTTTTCATATGCAATACAGAGTTAACGGCAAGGCAACAGGGCGGATAAGCAGAAGCATAAGCAGCAATATTAGCGGCCAGAGGCAGCAACAGTTACACGAGAAGAACGATAAGAGTAGCAGTCAGACGGGATTGCGATAAGAAAGAGGGAGAGAGAGAGAGAGGGAGAGAGAGAGAGAGAGAGAGAGAGAGAGGGAGAGAGAGAGAGAGAGAGGCAGAGAGTTAGACAGCAGCAGCAGAACGGACGACATTATCGAGAAGAAGCGTAGGTCAGAGAGACGAAGCGATTATTTGGAGAATTCGTGGCGAGAGGTTGCGAGAGAGCGCGTGCGAGCGCTATCATGACGCAATAGACAATCCAATGAATGAAATAGCAACAAACACAATAGTTGGGAGCACAGCAAGTACATACATATGTCGCCGACGCCTGCGGAAATTGTAGTAGCGACATCGGCGCCGCTAAGAGAACACAATGACAATGGCTACAAGTCGGCCAAAGCGGAGGCGGCGGCAGCGGCAGCGGCAGCGGCAGCGGCGCCATCAACAGCGTCAGCGTTAACCAAAGGCAGCGGCACTGGCGAGGTTTCGCTTTCTGCTGCTGAAGCAGCGCAGCCGTCGTCGCTGCCACCAGATATCGGCTCAACCAGAGTGGGCAGCGAAGTGCTGATAATGACGCCAGAGCAAATTGCCGAAGCTTACGAAAACTCTGTGCGAGAGGAAGAGCGTAAGAGAGCCAAAGTCGAAGAGAGCAAAGTGCGATTCAATCTGCCCGGCATACGAAAAAAGGCCGTAGCCTTTCGTGACGGACTCTTGCTGATAGTCGGCAAATTTTTGACATTCATTTTGCATTTAGACATGCATGGGGGCAACACCGGCAACAATATCAACTTCGTGGAGGGGCTCATAGACTTTATCGCCGGCTCGCTGGGTGAGTCCAGACTCGGCGACAATGCGTTCATATACGCTTTCTACATGTACATACATACATATATGGTGTATGTGTATAGGTCTGTATGTATTTAATTCGCACGTGTTTCTCGCCCTTCACACCCGCAGGCGGCGCCGCTCAAGTCTATGTTTCCCAGCCGTTGGACACCGTCAAAGTGAAGCTACAAACATTTCCCGAAACCTATAAGGGCATGTTTGATTGCTTTATTAGCACCTACCGCAGAGATGGCGTCATGCGGGGCCTCTACGCTGGCTCCGTGCCGGCGGTCTTTGCAAATGTGGCCGAAAATTCAGTGCTCTTTGCCGCCTACGGTGGCTGCCAAAAGTTTGTCACCTATGTGGTTGGCAAGGAGCTGGCCAGCGAATTGACAACCACGCAAAACGCATGCGCCGGCTCTCTGGCCGCCTGCTTCTCCACGTTGACTCTCTGTCCCACTGAGCTGATCAAGTGCAAGCTGCAGGCCCTGCGCGAGATGAAACACTTTGTGGAGCCCACCCAAACGGCCGACCTTCGCACGCCATGGACGTTAACACGTTACATCTGGCGCACCGAAGGTGAGTTCTGGCTTTTTTTTTTATATTTTTTTGGCAGCTTCTTGATTAGATTATGTGCATATCTCGATGTTATTGCTCTGCGTTCCTTCATAATTCACATTTAATCGCGTACACTGTAGATACGCTGCACAAAAGCAATCAGCTGCGTGTTTACTTGACTGTCGTCGGCGTTGCCAGACTAAGTTTCAAATAGTTCGGTTTAATTTACAAGTTTGGCTTGCGATAGATACAAATTGAAATTGCACAAATTTGACATATAATTATATGTCCAGGATTTGAGTCTTTGATTTTTTTAGAAGCCAAACTCCAAAAACTCCTCTGGCCATGCTCTCAGAACTTAGAGCTGCTTGGTAAATTGCATTTAAATCCAGTTCATTTTAAATTTTCCAGAAATAAGATTCTAGTCGTAACTAAAATTCATAATTTGATTATCTTTTCAAGAACACTTGAGTTTTGAGTTTTAGAACATTTTAAGCGCCTATAAAAATTAGAATATTCCCAATTTTAATTAGCACCTCGAACTAAGCGAGTCCTTTAGAATATTTCATTGAAACTGATCTGCTTTTAAAGATCTGTCAATTTGTATATATATAAATGTATGCATACATTTTCATTAAAGAACATTTCCTATATCATTCATTCACTTGATTTGATTAATGAAATGGTTCGACAACATGCTGAATCGAAGAATGAATCAAGTGAAGGCCTTACTTAAATATCATATATATCCGAAGAGTATAAAAATACCCAGAATTTATTCTGTTTTCTGTCTTTAGATAATTCACATTCGTTCACATTTCCTTCCTTCATAGCTTTTAGCTGTAGAGTTCTTCAGATTATAATCTTTGTACAAGTACAAATTTGTAGAACTGATAAAAGACACATTTTTTTTTACCTTTAAGAACATCAAATACATCCAATATATTATAATAGCATATTGATATATTGTGTTTAGGCATGGATTTATGGAGCTTTTGAAAATGTTATTGGCTAGTAAGTGATGTTTGGCTCTTATCAGTCAAGTGGAAATTTTACAGAATCTTTTTTTGATTGATTGACAACAGAATGGAGCACAGTACACGCTGGCCGGCTAACAAAAACTTGTTATGGTGCATTTGTAACGACCTCACATATGTATATTGCCCGGAGGGGTGGATCGGTTTTTCAAAATTGTTGTGATTGTCCGCTTTCATTCGCGCCTGGCACGCCAGCAACTGATAAGCAGCGTCACGACCAGGGTTACTCCACATGGGGGTTACTTGGTGTAGTCTATTAATAGAGCATTCATTTCCATTCACCGTCACGCACTTGAGAATCACATATAAATTAGCATATGCTCTGTCTCTCTCTCTGTCTCTCTTTCTCTTTCTTATGCGTTATGGCTTTGATGTCTCTCTCTCTCTCCCTTGCTGTTTCTTACAGGCATACGCGGGTTTTATCGAGGATTGGGCTCCACATTTATACGCGAGATGCCCGGCTATTTCTTCTTTTTTGGCAGCTACGAGGGCACACGCGAGCTGTTGCGCGGGTGAGTAAATATTGTAAGATGCGTGAATGCGTTAATTATAATGTAAATTTATACTTGACAGTAAGGATCAGACAAAGGATGAAATTGGACCGTTTAAGACAATGGTTGCCGGGGCCGTTGGCGGTGTCTGTCTGTGGACATCAACATTCCCAGCAGATGTCATAAAGAGTCGCATTCAGGTGAAGAACCTCAATGAGGGCATGTTCAGTGTCGGTGCGGAAATAGTTCGACGAGAGGGAGTATTGGCCCTATATCGCGGACTGTTGCCATCAGTACTACGCACCATTCCGGCCACGGCCACCCTGTTCGTTGTCTACGAGTATACCAAGAAGGCTCTCCATGGGGCGATGTGACTGTGACCTGTGACAGTTAAGACAGGCGTGGGCGTTGGCGTGGGCGTGACCGCGGGCGGTTACAACAAATAAGCTCACGCTGCCAGTGCTCCATTGCAAACAATTTCTGATTCTGTTGCCTTTGTTATTTTATTATTATTTTCGCTATAATTACTACTATCATTAGTATAATATTGCTGAGATCATCCACATCCTGCCCAGCATCACTCGTCGCTGCGGTCATTCAGATACTGGCCGCCTGCCGGAGACGCCGCTTTAAAAAGTCCTGCCGGTCCGCGGCCGTTTCCAGTGCGCGCCACTCATGCCAATAGATCTGCAGACGGACGTACAAAGTAGTTGAAAATAGTTTAACATTCGATATGTTGATGGGAAGCAACTGCCCTGACGCGTATATACGCACACAATTTTTTTGTATGACAATAAAAATGATTCAAGACAAGTCAAACGCTTGAAAATAAATTAAATAATTGTATTCTACTGCAACTAGAACAACAAGGATTATTATTTGCCTAGCCTATCAAGTTACCATTTTACCACCTTACATATACATATATAGTTTGGATCAGTGTCGAATTTCTTTTAGTTCTTTGAATTTTGAAAACATTGGCCTCTTAGTTCCTTAGCTAATTGTACGAGTTTGGTTAACATCAAAAATTATACATTGTTCATTCAAGAATCTCACGAATCTTTTCTATCGTATTGGTTCGATTCTGACGGAGTAAGAATCAGTCATGCTCGGATATGGTTCGAAATCTCAGAGTTTTGTGCTCGAAGCGTTCATACGTATGGACAGACAGACAAGGATGGCTATATACACTTGCCTGTTGATGCTGATCAAAAATATATATATAATCTGATCAAAAATATATATAATCTATGAGGTTAAGGAATGAGTTAGACACTTCACGACTCGAGGACATAATTTCAACGAAAATTAAATACATTTTTACAAAGCATTATGTGCCACTTACCACGACAGGCTTGTGTCCCAGCTGCTGCAGTTGTCGCAGCTTCATGGCAAACTGTCCCGTGTAGCGATCCTTTCCGCGTATGACATTGTTCCAGCCGGCGACTGTAATGATCAGCGTGTCCATGTGCGCTGCTTCCCTGGGGCCGAGCAGGTGCTGCCGCGTAAGCAGGACGCCGCTGTAGTCCTCCGGACAGCTGGCATCTAGGGACACAGCGCACTGCTGTTGTCGATCGTAGCATACAACCAGATCGCAGCGATCGTAGTGGGGCAGTATATGCTTCAGACCGACTGTGGTGCGCAGCAGACTGCCCACAGCATCGCGAATCTCCAGGAGAATGCGATCTGTGCTGTTGAGCTTGTATTGGATTTTCGCGCGATCCGGTATATACTGTGTATACAACTTGCCCATCTGCTGACGTTGCCGCTCGGTGAGCCGTGGCCCTTCGTAGCCAGAGCCCAGCAGCTGAGCAAAGCTGTCCAGGTGGAAGTATTCGCGGCCGGGCAGGCCGTTTCGATAGGCATGGCGCAGGAAGCGCGGCTCCAGGGCAACGCTCAGCTGTTCGACATCGTAAATGCCGCGCATACTGAGAAACTGCAGGCAGTTGGAGTAGCAGCGAGGATGGCGCACTATCTCATCGATGCGGGCGCGCAGCATGTCCGGAAAACGCTTCAGCAGGCGTTGCTCGACGCCGCTGGCGGTGTTCAGATTGAACAGTGCCATGACCAGACAAATGCGCTCCAAATCCTTGAGTCGTGTTGCATCAAGTTCGCGCTCGAAGCGCAGCAGAATGCGTTCCACAAGCTCATCATTGCAGGTCTGCAGCTCGCAGCCAAGCAGCGCCATGTGCAGGCAGGACATTAGCGAGACGCGCTCCACCTGCGACTGAAGCGCCACCAGAAGCTTACCCAGTGCTTCCACCTGCGGCAACTTGCTGCTGTAGCGCAACACTTTGATTAATGCGACCAGTGTAATGTCCTCGACGCTGTCCAGCTGCGCTTCCAGGCGCGTGTAGATGTGCTGCAACAGCTCGGGATTTCGTATGGGCGTCTGTGTTTTGAAGAAGCCCATGGCCATGATTCCCAGCTCCTGAAGCGTCATTTGCTGTACGCACTGCGCCAGATTTAGTTCAAAGTCAAACATCTCGAACACCGGCCGACGCAGCAGGTTGCACAGAAACATGGACTGCACCAGCTGAGCTGGCGGCATTTTTCGTATCTTGCGACCAAGCTTGCGCAGAGCTTGCCACACAAATTCACCAATCCGCGCCAGACCCAGCTGGTACCAGGCATCGCTGACCAGCAGCAACTGTGCACTGGACCAGCGCTCGATGCGGCGACAGCACTCGATGTCCAAGGTATTCCACAGCTCCATGTAGTTGGCCACCTTCGTTGAGGCCGGCGTCGGCAACTGTTGCAGGCCGCGCAGCACACCCAACAGCTGCTCGTCGCTAAATTTATGTAGCTCGTCGCATAAAGCGCCTATGAAATCTGTAAAACGTTCCTCGCTGATCTGGGTGCCCGTGTGCGCGCAGTGCTGTATCAGCGCCAGCAAATCCGCGTACAATTCATCCGGTTGCGCATTCTTTTCAGGTTCAAGCACATGCTGTGGCGCGGCAAAATCAGCTGTACCTGCTTTTGGGCTATCAATGGAGCGTACAAGCTGATACGGCTTCAAAGATTCGGAGAGAATACTGTGTGCGTACTGATTCTCATAATCGACAAAAACTTTTGCGGGCAGCGCTGGCAAGGTGCGTATGTGACGATGCAGCAACAGGCGGGGCGGACTCCGTGCCATGACCAAGCCACGCAGCATACATCTTGTTGTTGTCGATATCATTTCAGCTACAGTTTAATTCATAAATTCAGGAGCTTGAATATTTCGGCGTTATGTCAGGACAGCAACCAAAACCAACGCGCAACAAAGACATCAGCTGCTATCAGAGTTGCCATACAGTCAACCATGTGGCTGGAGGTGGCAATACTGTCATCTCTAATATTTTCTTTTTATCGATACTTTCGCGATGCTTTTCGATCATTTCCCAATGTACTCAATAATAATTCTATTAAATTTGAAACTGTAATAAATATATTCTAATAATACAAATAATATAATATAATATAATAATATATATATTTATACTTTTAAACGATAAGCAAAAAGTGCAATAATGGCGACCAACCTTAAATATGACGAATGTAGACGGATATCTTAAACAGTTTTCCCCAATTGGAATTCTTTCAAGTCACCCAGCTAGAAAAAAATGAAATATAATATAATTGTTGGCATTAATATTTAACAAGTTCATTTCAGTATGGTAATTTCAAAGATATTTTCTTGTGAAGCAATCTCCATACAAATGTAAATGATTATCAATATTATTTTCTTAAACTATACATAAGTATGATTAATTATTTGTTGTTTTAGTTCTTTGTATTATTGATATACACGTAATACGCCGTTATACATAATTTTAATGGCTGACCATGAATAATATCATTGTTATGCGTTCATGCTTTCCATGGAAACCAGTTTTTCGTTGATAATTTCTTTTTGAATTATTTATCTGGGCCGGGTTTTATGCATATGTATATATGACGTATACGCCAGATAAGCCCAACTGCCAAATACAGGCAATGATAAATATACCTTAAAACTTGTATATTCCAATTAGATAATTAATCTACATCTAAACCATGAAGAAAATAACAAGAAGGAGATGAAATATAATTAAATTTGCAAAGCTTGAAAATGTTTTTATTTTAATTTCCGCTAGCATATATATAAAACAAAAACCAATTCAAATGATTATGTATTGATATAGAGTATATGTATGTTATAATATATACAAAAATATACCTGTACATAATGAAAAATATATTATAATATACGTTTTCATCTTCGTTTTAAGCTTTAACGTATTTTATTCAAAATTGCGTAGAAATACTTTAAAAAATTATTTTTCAAAAGATTGCGAATTGTTTTAAGAAATTGCACAAAATGTACATATATGTATACTACATTCATATACATACATATCTATAGAGAGTGTTTAATGAGATGGCATAATGCTAATGATGATGATGATGATGATGATGATGATGATGATGATGATGATGATGATGATGATGATTTGTTGGCAACTTTCTCAGTGCTCGTATTTTTCCATTTGCATAACAATTAAATGTTATGTTTTAAAAATAATATTGAATGAAACTCATTAAAAATAAAAAACTCTAGAAATTGCCCCAGCTTGATTATACAATGGAAGGTGTCCAATTAGAATGCGCGAGTTTTCCAACCAGAAACGAAACGCCATTGAAGCTTCTAAAGTTTGGATATCGAATTCGTATCCAAAGACACTTTCATCTTGAACTTTCGTTTAACAAAATGCATGGCAACAAATGTTATTGTTGCTGCTGCCGCTTTTTGCTGGCGGCTAGAAAAAATCGGTATGTGGCCGGCTGCGGCGCATTTCATTTCAATAATAATGAAAACAAAAGTTTTAAAACAAACGAAGAAAAAATAACAAACAAAATATAACAAAAAAAAATCAACCGCTAGCTGCGCGCAAACGAGATCGTGGGCCAGAGGCAAAGGCAAAGGCAAAGACGCAACGCACGCATTAAAGATGTAAGCGGGGGCATCTGATATTTGGGAGAGGCGGACGCTTACGAAAATATGCTGCCCCAACTCCCCGCGTCGCTCTGCTCGAAATGACAACGACAGTTTACAGTTGCTTCCCAATACCCTAAGCTATTATGGCGTTCGCATTTAAAGGTTATGTTGGCACCGAAAGCACAGAAAGTTCTTTTTACTATTTATATAAACAGAAATAATAAATGTCTAATGTGCGAAAATGTCTAATTGATTAACTCCCTTGGCCAATTGTATTCTCAATGCGATTAGACTTGATATTTTGATGTGCCTTGACATAATGCAGGGTACCACAAGGTCGACCCGTCGAGGTTGTTGTCAATTTTCCCGTTTGAGCTGCGCAGTCGCTGCTGGTATATAAATTTTGACAAAAGAAAGACTTCGATTTAAACCAATTTTGGCAATGCGCGCGGCCATTAAGTGACAGCGCGAGATCAGAGCAGCAGAAGCACCAGTTATCAATATCGAGCCAAGCTAACCATACCGACAGCCAGCAGATACCCAAGCGCAGTTGTGGATTCCGTGATGCTACCGAAGGTGATTCCAGCTTTGCGTCTGGCGCTGCTGCTGCCGGCGATGGCGGCGGCCTTTGGCAACGAATATGTGCACATAAAGGTGCATGTGCCCAAGGATCAGGCGCCGAGTATTGCCATCGATGCGGAGCAGCCGCCGCAGCACAAGGTCATCCATCACTATCACCACCATGCGGCGCCGCAACTGAGATTGCGCGCACGCCCACCACCAAAGCCCAAGACAAGCCCGCTGCTGGAGAGCGTCATCTTGTCCGATCTTGACAAGCCGCTGCACATGAGCGAGCACGCGGACTATCTGAACCATGCAAAGGAGCTGGCCGAGCATCTCAGCGAAACATATGTGATCAAGAAGCCGCCACTGCCGCCAAAGAAGAAGGTGAACACCTACACGATCATCGAGGAGAAGCACCGGCCGACTAGTTACGACTACGAGTCGCGGCCAGAGCACGGCGTGGACACGTATCGGGTGCAGCATCATCATCACAAGCACCAGCAACATCAGCTCGCCGTAGACGACAATGACGACGATGTGGGCTATCACTATCCCGGCCCAGTGCACCAGCATCGCCATAAAGGCTCCTCCTCATTGTACCATGGCGGCGGCTATGCGGAGCCAGCGCCGGTGGAGGAGCCTATGGATTTAGATCAGGGCTATAGCTATTCGCCGCCCCTCTATGCCCATGGCCGACCGCCTACCCATACACTGGAGGCTCCCGAAGAGTCATCTCTGGACAGCCCGTATCCATATGACTTTAGCAGCAGAAGCGCCACCAGCAGCAGCAGCAGCAGCAGTAGCTTCCGGCCATCCCAGCAGCTGAGCACACAGCCAGATGCCTACGAAGACGAGACTGATTCCTATGCCGCGCCGATCCAGTCGCGTCGTCGTCGTCCCGGCCCCGTCGAGTGGCCCGGCCACCGCGGATATAACAGCGCTGCCGCCGAGACATATGCCGGCGCGGACAGCTACAATGCTGGGCCCGGCAGCACCGGATATCAGTATACCGGGCCCTACCTGTAGTCGTGATTCTTGAAACTTGCTTTAAGGCCTATTTATTTGATTTTTTTTCATAGTCTAAGTCGATTAAAACTCAAAGCTCCGCAAAATCAGAAAGTCTTCGTATACTCTGTTCACGAAGTGGATCTATATACCAAAATTGGTGTATTAGGCCAGGCGCTTATATAATATAATATAGCATTATGAATCGGAATAACATAGATATGTGACCCGTTCCCTATATACTCTCTTAGGATTCGTCTCGTCGATCTTGCTCTTTGATAGAAAAAAAAATCACAAATGAAGCAAGATCTGGTAACGCGATACCTGTGTACTTTCCTTTCAGACGTGTTTCACCCTTTCAGTCAAATCACTGCCTTCTGGGTGGAAAATGAGGGGAATCTCTGCATGGGTGAAATTTCAAGTTTCGACCGATCGGTTTCAAATACATTTTCAAAATTCTACATAAAGACTTTAGAAATATGTATTGATTTGAGTGTTATCGGGAATTACACCCGCAACTGGGGAAAATTGGCGGAAACGCTTCCGATTCTTGGCTCTTAATTCGTTGAAGTTCAAACTCAGTTTGTTTATACTCATGGAAATATTTCCTGAGGCGAGAAATTCTGTGTGGACCATCAAAAATGTAAAGCAAAAAAAAAAAAAATCTTGGACCGCGCAAGGCCGGGGAATACCCGATAGAAACTATTAAAATAGCTGTACCCATAAATAAACAATGCTGCAGTTGCATTCACTCTAGTGGAATCGACGCCCATCATCAAAGTGCAGTGAAGCAGGGTGTCATTTTGTCCTTGTGCGCCACGTTCCGCGGGAGATAGGCAACTGCGATAGGATCGTCGATGGCGGCAGAGTTCTGTTGGCGGAATTGAGGTCAAACGACGATGGGCTACCATATTGACAAGGTGCTGCGGTTTCACCTGCGCTTCTATCAGCTGCTCGGTCTGCACGGGCTACCGCTGCCCGGCGACGCGCATCCAAGCCGGAAGGCGAAGCTACTGCAACTCTGGGCCGGCTGCCTGCTGACAGGATTTAGTACAATAACATTTGTGTGCCTGGCCAGCGACGATGACTATCTTGGCCATGAGGACGCCTTTAGCTGCTTCAATGATGGCATGAAGTACGGATTTGCCGAAATGGCCATACTTAGTATCTACGGTGAGACACTGCCCTGACAACGATTCCAACTGGCGCGCTTCTGGCAACTGTATGGATCGCGAACGCCGCCAGCTAGCACGCTGCGGCAGCAATTGGTGCAGCATCGGCGCTACCTCATCCTGTTGTATGGCCCACTATTGTTGGAGCTGATGCTGCTGAGCATGTTCGTTGCCGTGCAGGATATTTCGCGTCACCTGCTGCTCTTTTGGATCACCTTTCAGCCGTTTGTGTTTGTGGTGCATCTGCGCAACACGCAGTTTTTGCTGCACCTGGAGCTGTTGCGCCAACAGCTGGTGCAATTGGAATGCGAGCTGGGGCTGCTCGTCGAGTACTCGAGATTTGCCAGCGGCGCAGCCAGCTTTAGTGGATTCGCAGAGTACCTTAGGCGGCGAATGCGCGAGAAGCAGCTAATGTACGAGCGCATCTACGAGCTGTGCACCAGCTTTAGCAGGGCCTTCAGCTATTCCGTGCTGACCGTGCTGCTCATGATCTATATACGCATCACAGTCGATTGTTATTTCTTGTACTACACCATCTACATAAACACCGACAATATTAGTAAGTTGTTCACCTCTCTCTGTCGCTCAATCTATCCCTTTCTCTGTCTAATCCGCGCGTTCTTAAGGCTTCGCTGACTATTATCTGATGATGCCCGCCGTCATGCAGATACCCGCCTTCCTCTACGCCTCGCAGAGCTGCATGCAAATGGTGCCCCGGATCGCCTACCAGCTCCACAATATTCAGACCACCTCCTCAGCACTTTCCGTTCAGGTGCGCAACTAGTCCTGGTATTGGAGATCGCATCTCAATTGTGTCATTTGCTCTTACAGATCCAAAACTTTTCGCTACAAATTCTACACGAGCCGGTGCGCATCGATTGTCTGGGCATAATTGTTTTAGACAATCATCTGATAACACGGGTAAGTGGAACACCAGCTAGTACGACTAATCTCAATGCAACCAACCAATTAAGATTGCGTGCGCCCTTTGCACTTATATGATATTTACCGTACAACTGATGCCCAAGCTGAGTGGATCCACTATATAGAGAGAGGCGATTAAAGAACAGGAGAAGAGCAAGTGGCATTGTCCAATGTATGTTATATTAAAGCTTTATGTATGTATCGTATATTCAATAAAATTATTTCATTATTGCCTTAAAACGAATCGGTTAAGCATCGATCTGGTTGTTGGCTATGTGGGGGAGTGTGGGATTGCGCGAAGCAACGTTTTTTATTTACACGTGCGTTTAGGTTGGACGGGCACTTTTTTCTTTTAAATCGAGGAGCGGGGCAGACTACTAACTAAACATCATTCAACCCATCCCAACCGAATACCCGTTTTGCAACAGCTGGCGGGAGTTGGAATTCGTCTTGCTTACAGTAAGATTGCAGTTAAGTGCGTATCTTATACATATGTATATATAAATACCAGTATACCATATATATATATATATAGATATATATATAAATCCTAATCATATATATGTATGTATGTGTATGTGTCTATCTGTGTAGCGCGACTAAACGATCTAATCGTATTCATGACTTGATTCACGTTTCGCAATCAGATTCTCGCGCTCATCATCGTTGCCCTCGATAATGGTGATGGTATTGGAATGGGCCGAGCGATTTAGCGGCTTAACGCGATGCACCGACGCGGTGAGGCCAGATTCGGTGACAACCTCCACCTCGTCGTCTTCATCGTCATCGGGCACTGTGAAGTATGGATGCGATGAGACTGGGCGGAACTTGTAGCCCGTGAGCACAAAGAAAACATATGTGGCCATTTCGCGGAACATCTCGTCCAGCCAGGCATATTGAAAGACGACCGTCATCTGTAGCAAGTCCACAATGATGCGCGTAAAGTAAATGTAGCAGACGATCATTATATAAAACTGGCGGAAAAGTTTCAGCTTGCGAAGATTAATTGCCGCCTTTCCGTCTGTCGCGGACGCCTCGTGCAGATGGCGGATGGACCACACTATTGGAAACAGTATGGCGCCGCAACATAGCAGATCCACAAAGAAGAAAATGTTGTGCCAGGTGCGGAACTCGGCGTCGCTTTGATCCGATTCGTCCGTTATAATTTGCGCTACATTAGCCAAAACCTAAGCACAGATTAAAAATATTATATAAATCGAATGCATTAAGAGGGCAACACAATTGCTTGCCAACCTGCAGCGGAATGACAATCATGAAGATCTTCTTGTCCTTGTCGGAGAGTATATGCTTGATAAATGTCCAGCCGGTGCCAATGAGCACAATAGTTATGAAAAGCACGGCACCCTTCAGTAGATGCGCTATGTAGTAGAGTATCGCCCAGGTTTCCACATGCTCGCCACGTTTCTCAATGAAATGATAATTGATTGAATGGAACATAAGAGACAGCGACTTTAGGAAAACGAGAACGGCCATAAGGTAATGTATCTTGTAGACAGTGTGCCTGTAAAACAATTTAACAGTATTAATACTATGAAGTGCGTTTGTCCAATGCGCACCCACTTGCTCTTCTTCAGGATGAACACCCAGAATAATCCTGACAAAAAGAATAGCAGACTCATCATAAAGTACAAGGCCGGCAACGGCATTTCTCCCGCCGACAAGTAGTTGCCATTGTTGTTTTCCTCAATGTCCACCTAAAAAATTACACAAATTAGCTAATTATTTTGGACTGGCCTGTCACAAACTGAACTTACATTGAAAGACAGCATCTTGGGGTTAACATAGTTGGGACAGGCGTGAAAGTATAAATTGTACAATCCCTCATCGTGCTGCGTGGCCACAAACATTGAAAACGTAAAGCTGTAGTAGTTGGTGCCATCGACTGTTTGCTTGATGAGTGGCAGCGTGAAATTCTTGCACAGCTCTTCCTGCGATTGCCTGAAGGAGTTGAATTCATAAAAGTTAGACCCAGAGCCCCGAGAACTGTCCACCGGAAGCGCTGGTTCCAGTTCGGCATCATCGAGCTTCTTGTTGTTGTTGCTGCTAGACGAGGCAGATGATGCGGCGACAACTGCACCAGCGTCGCCAATAGCTTTGGCACCGGCCTCAACTTCTGCTTCGTTGCTGACGCTGAGCACACCACTCGCCTTGGCGGCATCAAGGCCAGCTTGTGGGGCTGCTACAACTGATGAAGCACTTGCATTGTCCACTTTTGGTTGCACAGGTACCTTTTTGGATTCCTCAAGTACTGCAGACTCTTTCGGCTCCAAAACGGCAGGTTCTACCTTTGGCGCTGCGCTAATTTTGCCAGGCATAATGGGCGACGACAACTTGGGCTGTTCGCCATTCAGCTTGGCTTCAGCTGCATCCAACTCTGGTTGCATAGGTTCCTCAACCGAATGATCATCCATGTCGAGGACTTCGTCCGAATCAACGTTCATCACATCGCGACGGCGACGCTGCTGCATGAACAGCGCAGTGTCGCTGACCTTTGCGACATGCGAGTTGCGCTTGCGACGGTACATCACATCCTTGTAGATATGCTTGTTTGCCCATTCCGGTGAGCATTGCACACGTACTCTGGCGAAAAAATAAACAGCTATTAATAGACGCCCACTCGACAGTCGATGGAAAGAAGCTTACTTTAGCTCCTTCAGATCCAGCACAAAAAACAGAATTGGGCCACTTTTTTGGTTGGACGGCGGCTCCTCTAGTATGCACTTATTTTGATGCGAGTCCAGGTACGGATTAAGCTGATCAATGGTCGTCTTGTCCAACGACAGGCCAAACTGCAAACACCAATAACATATAAATACTTATTACCACCATACGAAATGCAAGCAATTCCATAATGCGCACCAAATCGGTCGACTGCTCATCGTCAACTGTTAGCTGACTCAGCTGCACGTCCAAATGTCCGTTTGTGTAGAAGCCAAAGGTGCTCAGCGCAATATACGGGCGCATATCATTCTGGAAGAACACAAAGGCATCTATATATATATAACTGCACTAACTGCACTCTTATGTATGTATGTATGTGCACATGCATAAGGGAGCCCGCAAAGGGATCGGAATCATCTGATGCGATGCCGGCCGCAATTACTTACGCGAACTTCCAGGTGATGTTTGCGCGAGAAAACGGCATTTGGTGCAATGAGCAGTGCTGCGATTAGTGTGACAAATATTGATTTAATATTTAATATGTGCGCTGGCGTTAGCGCACGCATTTTTCTTGCTCTTGTTTATTTTGCCTGCGCCCCTGTCGCCTGTGTGGCACTTTTTGCATGTATCGAAATCGATATGGATATGCCAACGCAGTTAAAAACTAATGTGACTTCGATTTTAATTAATTAAAGTTCGATTTGCTGCGCTTGCGTTGCTGTTGCAAATACAATTATTCACACTTAAACGATATCTTTGCTTCGTGTTTGTCGTCTTGTTGCACGCAATAAAATTCCTAGTTAGTACATTCGTGCTGCTAGCGATGGGTACAAAATAGATATCGATTAATCGATTTTACTTTTGGAGGGCCATTTTTCCAAATTCAAATTTGAATTTATCCAATACGATGTATCGTTTATTAATTATTTCTCAAAGTAAACATGACATTTCGAATTCAAATGAAATTTGTCAAATTCGAATGCCAAATCAATCAGCAGACAATATGATTATGAAATTCTAGGTCTTATTTTAAATTAAAACCGACTTTACGCTTGTAAGAGTTGTTCATTTTAGAAACCTTTTACTCATCAGTAATCAGAACCAAACAATTGGAAAAACCCAATTAGATTGACAGTTAGAAGACGGGCATGAGAAGGTATAATTAGCCACAATCACTTTATATATTGACCCCACAAATAAAAACTGTTCATATCGAAGTATAATGCATAGATGTAATTAATTTGCGTTTTATTTAAAAAGGCTAAGCAAAAGAGACAAACACAAAAAAGCACGATTTCAGATTAAGCTAATAATAGTTTAGATAATTCCAGTTAAATATGATACTTTATTCCATATAACCAATGTGGGGCTCCGTTGAGGTTGTGGCAAGCTCACGGCGCGAGTGTAGCCCATGCTCACGGAGTCGGGGCTTGAACTTGCCAACACCCAGCGTAATAGTTCCTGGTGGCTTTTTACCTCGAAATGTGGCTGCCTCAAATGAGGGCGGGGGCGTCAGTTTAGACGGCTTTTTAGATTTTACTGCCCTATCCGCAGTATTGCCCTTGGCATCGAGCCAGGCAATTTTGGTGGACGGGTCATTGACGTCCAGCGGCTTGACCTGCGTAACCAATGCCAAGGAGTTTTGCTTCTTTTGATAGTACATCACCTCAAAAGCCAGCGTAATCATAGCCAGAATTAGGCCAAGCAGGGTGGCTATGAAAACGCCGCCCAAACTCTCCAGGGTAATGCCCTCCTGATCCTCGGAAAGGGGACAGTTGCGTACATTCGATAGGTTCCAGTATTTTGCCTTGAGCTGCTCAAAGAAGCGGTCCTTCTGTAGCTCCAAAATCGCATAGCTTAGCTCATCCTGCCACCAAATGCAGAAACAAAAGTATTATCAACAACAAAAAAAAAAGGAAATCAAGAATAATACGCACGCCCAAATGGCTACCCTGCTGCACGGCGACGGCATAGGGTTGCTCGGCGAACACTTCGCCAACCTCCGTTAGATTGCAGTTCCTGGTGACCTCGTACTTGATCTCTGCGGAGTCGTGTATGAACGCATAGTCCGCGTTCCCATGCGCGTCCACTTTTTCAAAACCTTCGGTCGCATTGTGGACTGGCTTGGAGCTATTAATGGCCAGGAGTATGTGCCCAAACTGTTCCTTAATGGGATAGTCCCAAATGCGGAACTTGCGAAAGTCGCGGGATGCATTCAGTGCCAGCTCTTTCCACAGACGATATAAGGTATCTTCGGCGAATTTCATGTTCATGAAATAGTGATGCGTGTCCGAATCCTTGACGACAGTGTAATTAATGCGTGATTGTCGCGCCAGCTGCTCCAGCGACTGCACCGGCGTCTGCATGCGCTCGACAGTAAGAAACGCAGCCAAGTTTGCCGTGAACGTGGCCAGCATGAGCACCACAAATAGCCAGTAGGCGGCAACCAGCAGGCGTCCCGATATCGCCTTGGGCGCCTCGCCGCCACCTTGCGGCGTGAACGAGGTCAAGGCAAACCAAAAGCTCTCGCGTAGCGTAAACTCCCGACACTCGTACGGATAGGCATCGCGATTGTTGCGCGAACTGTACGGCGAATACTTGTCCATGAACCAGATCATCAGTGCCGTGCCCACCAGGGCGGCAACAATGCTTAGCCATACCTCCAGGCGCAGCACCGTCATGAACTTGAAGAGCGAGGTGCGTCGCATCGGCTTGCGCATAACTATGGAGATGCCGGTCTGCTCGTAGTAGGGCGGCAAGAAGTCAACCACTTCCTCGCGCTCCGAGTACATCTTGAGTGCAGCGATGGCAAAGTCTGTCTCGCCACTGACCAAGTCGCCTATGACGCCATCCCACTCACCCAGCTCGTTGCGCTCACCCATGTGTCCCTGCTTGGGTGCCACAATTTCGAAGCCAAAGTTCAGCTTCTCTGCCAGCCGTTCCATAAAATCGATGCAATAGCCCTCCCAGATAGGATCACCGTTTTTGGTTCGTAGCAGCTCGCCGGTTGCCGGGTTGCGACGATAATAGCTCCAGGGCAGGCTCTCGGCGGTGCCAATACGAAAGAAGCGCCGGCTTGGGCTAATTGTCTCGTTGAGCAGTCGCAGCTCGCCAGCTCCCCAAACGGCCAGGTCCGTCTTGGCCTCATGTTCGCTGGAATAGTAGCCTATCGAAATATTCGCCACAAAGCTCAAATTGGGCACTGGCTCCTCTTCGGCCACCTGTTCCGGCGTCTCGCTGCTCGGCATATAGCCCACAAAGTTACTCCAGTGCACATTCTCCATCCAAAGGCTGTTGGCGGCCTCTGCACTGTTTACCTCGGCGCTGGCATTGCAATCCAGGTAAACAGGCTGTGGAAACGACTGGCTGATCTGCGCTGCATAGATGAGACTCCGCAGCACATCCAGCAACAGACCACGGTGTAGCTGGAAAGATTTCTTAGATTTACATAGATCCAATATATTATAATGGTTATGTGCAAATGTGTGTAACAGACAGAAGGAGGCATCTCTGATCCCTCGCCTAGCTGAGTTCGGCTCTGGAACATTTAGAGCTGCCATGGAAGTCAAGGGTTTTTAGTTCGAATCTACATAAAACTGCTTTGGTCTTACGTACGTAGATATGTTTGAACTTGGCAGCCGACAAAAGAAAAGGGACCTGAGTCGAGGTCCTCTCGGATCACCCAGTCACATCTCGGGCTTACCGTAAATCCGCTTCCACAGTAAAGATCTCGCATCTGCATTGAACGGCAGATGGCGCGTGCGTTCAGTGTAAACCGTGTCGCAAGCTCCACCTGTCGCTTGTACTTGAAAACGCGATCCCTGGTGTCCAGAAAGACCAAGTGCCATTCGGTGGGTCGTTGGAATAGTTTGCCCATATCCACCTGCAACGATACGCAGCACACTCTGAAGCTGATTGCAACTGGAAGCGGTTCTCGGCCAGCTACTTACGCGCTCGAAGAGACCATTCATGGCGGAGCCACGGGCGAACATTGCATAGTAGGTGGGCGGCGGTCGCAACGAAGTGATACGCGTGACGAAATCCTCCGACTGTGTGTCGCTGGCATCCAGGATGAGAGTGCGAAAGGGATAGCCAGCCATTAGCTGTTTCATAGCCTCCATCGTGTCGCGAGCATTTTGAAAGATCATGGCCACATTGTTCGCACGCTTCTGCCGCATAAAATCGCCAAACATGTCCAGAAAGGGACGCATTACCCGCTCCAGACGCACATACGCAATGCCATGCATGCGCGCCAGCTCATAGCCCTCTGACCAGCGGCTGTAGCTAAGATCCACGATCACGGAGCTGCCCATGCTGCTCAGAATCTCGCAAACTGTGCGGGCCCAAGAAATTGTATCTGGCTAGTCTTGGCAAATGCCGGCTACTTACAGCTGTCCATGTCCTGCTGCTCGTCGGTGCGCGTGAGCTGCACCACCGAATCGCTTATGGTCACATCCAGCTGCAGTGCATCCAGTTCCTTCAGGACAATCGCAATATCTGCTTCAAACTCTGATCGCTGGACTGGCTCGATCCAAAAGGCTGGCAAGAGATGAAAACGCCAAGAATTGAGTTGAATTCCGCATGAGCTCCCCCCTGGCAATCACACTTACTTATCTTAAGCTCCCCAGCGCTGGCCAGGCTTTGGCTTAGGCTCATGCCAATGCCCAGGCACAGCCAGAGCCCAAAAATGTTCAACCGATCCATTCTGACCATCAGCTGCAAGTGCTGCCGGTAAATTGGTCAGACTGCGTCAGAGTCCACGCCAATTGACATATCCAAGTCCCACGTCCCTCATATAATTGCGCTTAATTTGTGCCCATCGATTGGACGTCCGTCAAGGCATTATGCATTTAAAAGCAGCTCCTAGCTGTTGTCCCAGTTATCAATTCGAAAATCGCATTAAATTTGAATACTGTCACCGACGGATGACCCCACAAGGACCTGCTCACGGGGCGTATTATGCAATATACAAGTCACAAATTGGAATTTGCAACTCTATGCAAGGCAAGGATTGCCGACTTGGCGATACCCTGGATCTACACACAATTATTTTGTTCAGTTTTGACATATTACATGATCCCGAGTTTTTCTTACTGTTCAGTTTTGAAACAAGATGAAAAAGTATTATATTCTTGATCAAACTGGGTATATCTAACTATCATACCCTTCGAGGTACACTTGAAATACCGTAGATGAAAATCGAAGACTAATTGTGCTTTGCAAACGTGACGTCATGAGCCTGTCGCGAGCGTCGGACTAGCAAGCGAGCAATCGTCGGCTCAACTCAACTTATTTGTGTGCCTCTCTCTGTTATTATTCACAAATAAAATTGCAGTAAAAGACAGCAACAAATTATATTTGTATTAAAATAAAAAATTGTTTAATGCAACAAAACGTTAGCATTTTCTGCTGTGCCATTTAGCCGAAACAATTTATGTGTGGGAAAGGCAACATGTGGGCAGTAATGATTTTCATAGCTAACGTTTGGTTCCTTAATTGGGCCTTAACAGGGACAATCGGGCCGTTGAATGCTTAAGGACCGTCCGATGTGAAGAACCGACATAAAATTTAATTTAAATATATTATGAGTTCCTTATGAGTTTCTATTCGTAAAGGAAGCCTTGCTTTAAATATTGCCCATGCATTTGGCTATACTCAAAATTCGATATCCCTAACGTCAGCTATCTCTACGCTACGATGAATCATTAGTGCACCTTCTTTAAGACCATGATGTTGCAGGATCAAATGGGATCTGTTGGGACATAATGAAGGATGCGAGTTTTAGATGAGTTTCCAGGTGCGGCTATAAACAAATATATATTCGAAATTTCAATATCGAAAGTTTCCAACACAAAAACAATCAATCGGTATGCACATACATATATCTGACGCCTTTGCTGAACCGCCTTCTCCACAGTGTCCCGGTTAATGACTCCCGATATTGCACATTTTGAGCCTATTCGAGCTGTGTGTTGATCACCTGCCCGATGGGTCAGGCCAGTTTTAAATATATGTATTACTATTTAAACTACACAGCATTCAGTTTTCTGTCTGGAATTAAGGACCTGAACCATAATAACATAGTAAACGGGGCTTGTTTTCCATTATACAATTAACGACAAATACACGATCTCCAAATATCATTTAAATGATTTATTTATACAATGTCTCGCTTTGATGAATCCGTTAATATATATTCGCCCGATGGGCATTTGTTGCAAGTGGAATACGCTCAAGAGGCGGTGCGCAAAGGTTCCACAGTGGTAAGTGCACCCTTTTGCGGCATATATTCTATATATTTAGATCGGTATCAGCCGAGTCGATATAGCCTCAAGCCCGCAATATGCCTGCAAGGGTATTCCATATTGGACAGGTTGAAATTCCTTGCCTCTGTCTTCCTTTTTATCGCTCAGGTGGGTCTTCGCACCAAGGAATGCGTTGTGCTGGGCGTGGAGAAGAGAGCCATTGATTCCCTACAGATCGAGCGTACGTCGCGTAAGATTAAGAAAATAGATCAACATATGGCAATGACCTTTGCGGGTCTTACGGCTGATGCTCGCGTATTGGTGAGTCGCGCCCAGGTCGAGGCCCAGAGCCACCGCTTGAACTTTGATCGGCCCGCATCTGTGGAGTACATTACACGGTGGGTGCTTAACCAAGCTGATCCACGGCTGCTCCTCACAGCTAACGTATTCACAGATATCTGGCCAGACTGAAACAGACGTATACGCAGAGCGTGGCACGACGTCCGTTTGGCGTCTCCTGTCTGATAGGTGGCTTCGATGAAGATGGCAGGCCGCGTCTATTCCAGACCGATCCCTCGGGCATCTACTACGAATGGTCGGCCAATACGACGGGCCGCCTGGGGCAAACGGTAAACGAGTACTTGGAGAAGAACACAGCTGTCATTTCCAGGGCCCCTGACGCCGCCTCGGCCATGAAGCACGTGATGCGAGCCTTGTTCACGGCCACATCGCTGGATGCCAGCTTCTATGAACTGGCTGTGCTCAGATACCGGCAGCCAATGGAGATGGTCAAACCAGAAACGTTGGAATATCTGTTGGGAGTCATTAAGCAGGAGACCGTGGAGGAGGCGCTTAAGCAAAGGCGCCGTAACGTGATTTGATGTGCATAGAATTTGGTTAATGTGTATGTATATATTTCGTCTGGCTAACCAGGTACATTTGCATACCGATTGTTTTTGTGTTAAAAATTCTGGATATTAAAATTTCGCATATATTTGTGTATAGCCGCGAGCTCATCATCTAAAACGTGTATCTCCCATAGAGTTACCAAATGTGGCAGCTTGATTTCTCATTATCTAAAAGATCCTATATATATAGATCCTATATACATAGATCCTATATAGATAGTACATAACTACTTTAAATTGGCCTATTTTGTAACTTGGGCTCGGTTACAGTCGATGTACTTTTAATAAAAGTAGACAAGCATGTATTGTTTTTAAGAGATTTATAATACAAAAAAAAAAGGTTTCCTTATTCGACAGCAATGTTGAATATTGTCAAGTGCATGGACAACATTTAAAGCGTAGCTATATTTACACAAAAAAAAAAAAATATTTCATAATATATTTAAATATCAGAGCTGCTTAACTAGTATAGCTGATAATTTATTAACCTTAAGCTTTAACCAACATACGTACCGCACAATACGTGATAACTACATACATCTAGTTAATTATTAATCAAGATCGTTTACATTTTTCGGAGTTCTAACGTAAATGAATAGATGTGAACAAAATATTATATTTATATATGCAAGTGTAATAAGGAAAACCAATGGGGGTTTCAAATAACTCCACGTAGAAACTTATGTTACTCATGTGCCATGCAAATGCGAGAGTATCGATTCAATATCCTCGATCTGGACGCCGGCATCGTGCCCCTCCATTTGCTGCTCCTCGCTAGTGTTTTCCTTTAACGGTGTATTGCTGCGTTCAGAATTGGAGAGAACATAGGAAAAGTTTGATTAATGCTGTGATAAAACAGAGTCCAGATATAGAAACCTTACGGCCAATCGTATTCGTTAAAACGAGAGAGCATAGCATACGAGTCCTTTGTGGCACACTTGCCATCTCGCTTTACTCAATGATACGAAATTACAGTAAAATCTTACAAAAACAGTCTTTTAGCGGAAAGCTATGAAAAACTGAGTTTCATGGAATAAAAAATAATGTAAAATAAATACCTCAATGTGAGTCTTTTGACCTGCACTGAGCTGGTAGAATTGTTCTAAGACAGACGGTTAAGGTTTTATCCTACTCTATTCTAAATTCATATATAATTTGCAAGCTATAAACTGCGTTTTTCTAGCTACTAAAGATAATAGAGTGAATAATTTATAACATAACTGTTACTCTTGACATGAACCAAAACAGAGGACGATATTGTATATATAGTATACAAAATCGCAATGGATTCAAATCCGGTATCGATTATCGATTAGATATATAGTTGGCTGCTGAGGTTATCCTTAAACTTACATGGAGGCCACTTCCGAATCGTTATCATCGCGCTCTTCACTCTGTGCGTTTCTGGCCAGCGGCGTTGATGCCGCCATGGGCTTTTCTTGGGCCACTGCCTGGTCCTGGGTGGTGCCGCTGGTGAAGCGTATGATCCGCTTTTTGGGTATGTTGCGTATGCTTGTGGCATTCGCATTGTCCTCTGTGCTGGGCAGCGCCTGGTGGAGCAGCTGTGGACTCGTAATGCGCACAGTATGCATTTCGCTGTCCACCATGATCCGCATTTGAAAATTTTTAAAGTAGGCGGGTGGCTGGCGGGGCACAGGATGGGCCGGCTTGCTGCCGCTGTCGGCAAAAGCGAAACAGAATGTGTTGGCCACATGACTGGCGCTCCTGCACATGTCCAATTCGTACTCGCCGCTGGCAACTGGGGCTGGCGACTGTGCCTGCGGCGGCAGCTGTTCCGGCGATAGCTGCGTTGTCTGCGCCTCGGCCAGCGTGGCCAATGTAGGTGCTGCAGTCTCTATGCGCGCCTCTGCACGCTTCTTGGCCGGCTTCTTGGTTACCTTGGTACTGGTCGATGCCTTGGCTGATTTGGTTGCCTCGCTGCTGCCAGGCTGTGGCTCTTCAGGCGCGGGCGCTGCAGGAAAGAGAATATTTAGTCGCCTTTGCCAAATGAATATCAGCTACTTACTCTTATTGTCAATGAGACGCGAGGAGCGTCGCATGCTGCAGCGCGACGGCTCCGTATTGGGTGGCTTCTTGGGTCGGCCACGTCGCTGGCCGGTGCTTGTGGAAGGCGCCGGTTTAGCAGCAATTTGAACTGTGGCACGTGCAGTCTTTGGCTGTTGCTGCTGTTTCTTGGCGCTTAGATTCAGTGCAAATAGCAGCGCAGGATCGAGATTGCTGCTGGACGGCTCTTGCGGCTCCGAGATGGCTTTAACTGGTTCACTGGAGGCTGGCTTGGCCTTGACTGCTTTACACGGTGCTGGTTCCCTCTTAACTGATTCAGTTGTTGTCGCTGAAACTGTTGCTTTTTTCTCAGGCTTCGCTGTTTGTGATTCCTTTTTAGGAGATTTATTCGCATGAATTGGATTGGGATTCGTCAGCTTGGCTGTATCGCGCATGGCTGTCAGCTTCTTGTTCGGTTTCTTAGGTCGCCCCTTAGGCACGGTCAGCTGTTTAACCTTCGCCTTGA